ATAAATGCAGGCTTGGTGAGCAGAAGAGAATTCTTTAAAAAACATTAAAAATTTTACTGTTCAAAAACTTTTGACTGGTATAGTGTGTGTGTATCTATCTATCTATCTATCTATATCTAATATATCTCTCTCTCTCTCTCTCTCTCTCTCTATATATATATATATATATCGAAGTGGTGATGGGCCACCTGGACCAAAAAATGACAGGGCCGATTTTTTGTCCCAGTCCAGCCCTGGTACTAAGATTACTAAATTACATTTCAAAATTAGACAGCTCTAATTATATATACTGTAACAGATGGAATTCAAATGAATTTGAATAGATTTAGAGTATAATTTAGAGTATATTTTGTATTTAGAGCATATTTTCTTCTAGTATTTTGAGTATGTTTTATTATTTTATCATAGTCAGCAAAATTGATACACTGACCTTGTACGACTACAGATCAACAAAATCAAGTTAATTTATGTTGGCATGCATGCAATGCATTTGTGTTAACAGAATAAGGAGGAACAGACAATAAGGGACTGATTCTAAATGAACAACATTTTCCATGAATACACCATGTGCTTTACTGCTTTCCTTAAGTTGGACGTGACAGTAATTTAGAAAGACTATAATGACAAGAACAGCATGCATGCAGCATTAAAAAGAGCATGTAATGCAGCCAAGTGGTAAAACTGATTATTAATTCATTTAATTAACTCATTCACCACACAGCAAGCCTCTCCAATGTAAATACCTTAGGAAATGTGCTTGAGAATGTTAACTCTGATCAGTATGTTAAAAATATTAGTCTTCTTAAACACTTACGACAGTTGGCCTCATCAGACTTGTCCTTGCAGTCTACATCTCCGTCGCATTTCCAGTTGAGGTGAATACATTCTCCACTCCTGCACCGGAACTCTCCCGCAGTGCAGTGGGTTTTTTGAGGCTCCGTCCTGCGGCTGCAACGCTCCAGAGATTCGTCCGACTTGTCTCTGCAGTCGGGGTCTCCGTCGCAGCTCCACGGCGCTGGGATACACTCTGAGTCATTACAGCGAAACTCATGTGGCCCACAGGTGCTGGCGGTGGCTGCCGTGCACTTCTCCTCATCGCTGCCGTCGCCGCAGTCATCATCCCCGTCACAGACGAACGTGGGAGCCACGCACAGACGATTATGGCACTGGAACTCTTTAGCAGGGCAAGCCTTGGCATCTGGAAAAATGAAGAATGTTCTTTATTAACACAGAGTCTTAAAGTCCCTCAAATACATAAACAGTATGTAAAAAAATTACTTGAACAATAAATAGTTGATAGCTGAACCTTTAACTATTGCATGTTAATATAGACATATAGACACATTTTAAGACATCTGAACTTTTTTTATTTTTTTTGTTTGTTTCCCGTTTCCATTTATTTTTTCTTTTTTATAATTCATCACAAGCATATTTTGTCTCCTGTGTTTCCAACTTTTTTGTGCTATATAAGCACAATTGTCATTTTTTGTCATTTTGTCATTGTTCTTATCTTCTTGTCATTGTACATATTTAGATTTTATTTTAAAATGTATTATTGAAAAGACTTGAAGTCGTCAGGTTAGGCATCAACTCGGTTCCCATATGTTCTCCTTTTTGCAATGAACTGAAAAAAAAGGGAACCCTGATTAATAATGACTTTTTCATCATCCAGGAAGTAAAATCATAAAGGACAAAAACAAACAAGTCTCCTTTTATAATATTTTTTTTCCCTTATGTTTTGTATTTGTCAGCGATCTTAAAATGTCAACCCTGATATCACGATTTTGAATAATTAACAACTAATAATTGAAAAGTGGATATTTGTAGAAATATCATATCAAATTCTCTTTAAAAAAAAAAAATGATATTTGTTGTTTTATAGCCTTATAATTTCAAATGAAAACTGTCAAACCATGCAACCCTAACTCCAATTTATTTGTAATATATATTAAAATGTAATGTAAAATATAATTTTGTAGAATGTAATTAAACATTTTTAAATGATGATAATTTAGTCATGTTAAATTACCTTGTAAAAATGATTATAAATTATAATTATTTATTCAATAGAACATTTTGTAAAATTATTTTGAAAAAATCCCTTTAATCAAACTTCTAAATCAGTTTGGGGAAAAAAGATGACTATGGGTTTCTGTTTAATGATGTCACATCACCAAACCAATGAGGTACCATTACAGTAAAATGACTGAACCACACTTCTCACTGGAAATTTATGGCAAATGCAGCATGAGCTCTGAGCTATTCTGTGCTGATGTGAGCTCCGTGACCTCACTGATTCAACTGTGCTGTAGATGACCTGAGATTCAAACTTCAGCCCCACAGTGGCAGCAGACCCTAAATGGGCTTAACTGTGCTGTAGTAAACGCCTGTCCATTCTTTAATGGGGTCACCCACCCCACCGGAATAACCGTCCTGAAGAGCTGTAAGGCGACTGGGTATTACATTCACGGAGACTAGTTTTGTAAAAGGATTTGAAATGGCTTACGAGCATGTGATCGGGTGTGAGCATGTTTGAACGGATGGGATATGAGAGAAATCGATCCTGACTTTTTGTGACTTCGCGTCAATAAACCTGTAAATATGCAAACTATTTGTAAAGAGCAGCTAGGGCTCATAAAACACTTTTACCGTCAAAACGGTGACATTATCAAAATTGTATTGCCGGATTTAAAATCAATGTTGCTCACAGAAAGGTCATTCTTGTTGTTTATTGTACTTTAGCTGATCTGTATTTCACATTTCTGCCACCTACGCTAGTTGCTTTTGAAGTCAATTACAATAATGCTCAATGAGATATGATGCTAATTGTGTTTTTGCAAAGCTGATTAGCCAACAAGCATCTAAAAACCACTCAAAGGTTTCTTCAATGACCATCGAACAGCTGAGGGGAAAGGTGGAATAACATCTTCTGGAATATGTAGATATTATCTAGCTGCTACATTTCTCAATGCTCAAGATCAAGGCAGCCAACAAATGTAGCATGTTCTTAAAAGAAAGTAACGTGATTGGATCTTTTTTGTGTGGAAGGAAGGTTGCGTTTGCTCTAAGCAGGGGGAGATTGGATTGGCTGACCCTTCTTTTCTCTTGAGGGATGTAGACAGCAGCCTAAAACAACATCCTCTCAGAGAGGAACTGAACAAACATGGACAGCTTTATCATATACCACTGTCACATTCCAGCTGGAATGAAAATCAAATCATCCAGCTCTATACACTTGCAGAAGGTGTGAATTGGATGTATAAAATATTTTCACATACTAAATAAAATCTACACAAAACATTGATTAGCGGTGCTTGCTAAGTGTTACATTGAAGAAGGGTCCAGAGCCATTTCTAGGGGCATTAATAGGGTTGTTTACTTGGGCAAGTAAGCAACCACCCAAAATATCCCAACAACCAACAAGAACATCCTAGAAACTGCAACTAAAGAAAACACCCAGAACACCTTCCTTTATGAAAATTAACCATGGTTTTACTACAAATGAAACCAAAAATAACATGGTTATTGTATTTAAATCATGGTAACCACAAATTAACCATGGCTACACTAACCATAGTTTAACTAGTATTTGTATTTGTAGAAAAACTGTGGTTATATAAATTTTAACCGCCAAAAAACAAAACAAAACAAAAAAAAAAAACATGGTTACTACACTTTTACTTTAATAAACCCACGGTTAATTTTTTAAGAGTGAGCACCCACATACCTCTGAAAACTATTTAACATTTAGCATCTTTAGCTTTTTTTATGGACAAGGACTAAAATGTTCTTCAGAAAATGTAAAAATGTAATTTCTAAGTATAATCACATGAATATTACAACATAAATATACTTTCATAAAACTGACCACAACTGCTATCAAAAAAGTTACAATGCTAAGGTTTTGGCTAATATTTTTGATTTTTTTTACTAACTAATGCTTTGGACCAAACAATTGCCTGAATCTCAGTATTGAAATAAACAGACAAACAAATCGATCTGGTTCTTTAAAAACCGTTTAGATTAGGTGGATTTCTACCTTTTGCAATGCTACAGACGAATAAAAGAGTAGCAAACACATGCAGCTCTGGGCCAGATTGACTTTGTCATTCAAAGGCTGCTGATATATCTCTGCTGTGTGGATTTTGATGCTATCTCGTTTAGAGGTCAGGCACAACAGTGAATGGATTTTAAAAGAGCGCAAAGGAAAAGCTCAAAGCAGGTCAATTGAATTCCACTGACCAATGTCAAATACTCATTCCCCAGGCCAACAACAGACAGGTAGTAGATAGGGCTTTACATTAACAAGATCTCTGTGGCCTTGAACCACACAAGCAAACAACAGAGAGCTGAAAAATATATAGCAGATCTGAATGTGAAAGAATTACATGCAGCTTTTCTGTCCTTGTGTTAATTGAGAGACTGCACAGAATATTTGACCGGAACTAACTGTTGTATAATATATAATAGGGATGCACCGATACCGATACTGGTATCGGTATCGGGCCCGATACTGGTCTCCTGTACTCGTACTCGTACTCGTTAAAATGCCCCGATACCAAACGCCGATACCACACAGCATGTGATAAGTGCCATATTCAGACAAAGAAACACCGACAACAGAACAACAGACAGCAGAAAGGAGTTAAGGATGTCTACTACGAAGTATATGTATGCAATGAATATAATGTTAAACATTCAGTACTGCCCGTATAGCTTCGACAAGTACCAAAAATAAAAGTATCGGTATCGGGCGAGTACTGGAAAAAGTGGTATCGGTGCATCCCTAATATATAACATTAACACGTACAGTTGTTATATGACATTGTTGTTATATCACACATATGTTGTATCACGTATTATACAACAGTTAGTTCCTGTCAAATATTACATTTGTCTCTCAATCAACACAAGGACAGAAAACCTGCATTCATAACTGCATTAAAAAAGAAAACTTTTAAATACCTGTTGATGCATGCCACACTGCCGGATATTTCAACTTTCCAAAACATTTCATGATTTCTAAGTAGGGATGTAACGATTAACCGCAAGCCGGTTGAAAATCGATTCAAATATGTGACGATTCAAATCGGTG